CATAAAGCCTCCTAAACACTGCCTATTTAAGGTTTCCATGATTTTATTCTTTTTTCGCCATCTAGAAAAATCTGAAGCAGCTTTGTTGCCAGGGAAGGAAATTAACTAAAGTTCCTTCTCTGAGTTTCTAAACACCTGGTCATTTTTCACTCAAGCTAGTTGATTTACATACTCCTTTCATAAAGGTATTGCAAAGTACTGCTTGAGAAAGATGTACTCCATCTGCATAGTTGTAGGAACAGGTTATATGTATGAACTATGGGACTTGTTATTGGCTGCAAGAATCATCAAGATGGCATCGTTCAGTCTTTGGGAAATTACACGCCTTGTGCAAATCATGCTGATTCTCTGCAAATAACCTGGATTGTTAACTTTGAAGCAGGAGAGCTGGGTCCCTGTCCAGCTCATTTGTAAGACTGCCTTGGTGCTATGAATACAGACACCACCCTGTACAATGTCTGCTTCTTCTTGCACCAGAAGTAGTATACACAGCGTAAAAAGGAGATTCATATAAAACACCCAGATTTTACTGGCTTTTGCAGAGGAAAAGGTGATCCAATGAACCATGAAACTTAGTGATGCTTGCAGGAAGAAGAAAAAAAAAAGACATTCTATATAAGTTTATTACCTATGACGTTCATTTACAAACATTTGATGGCAAGCAGATGTTTATAATCAGGTGTTTGAAGAAGTATTTTTGCACTCAGTCTAAGTCCCTGTCCTGCTGAAAGAAATCACTTGTATACAGAGCAATAGCAAAAAGTTCCACATATCCACATAGAAAAATTGTGTACATGAGAATGTGTGCTGTAAAAGGGATGAACATGGAAAGGATTTAGTCATATCTCCTTCCCAAGCGGACCTTTTGTTCCTCTAGTTTTATAAGCCCATTCTTTACCCCACCATCTGTGATGAAATTAGGACAAGAGGCTAGTTAGGGACTGCTCTGCAGCACTGAGCAAAGCAAGCCTGAGATTCACATAATTTTTCCAAAGCAAGAGCAAGATTCCTACTAAGAGTGACTCAAACACCTACTTTACTGTTGAGAAAGGAGAAAAAGCAAAGCCAACCTCTACCCTCCTTGCTCACGCTAAGCCCCCCAAAGGTCACAGCTAGACTACCTAACAGAAGGGATGCTGACTACCTAGGAAGGTTCACAAGCTACTCAAACTCTTCTCTTCAGGCTCATCCTTTCTCTGTTGCATCCAAAGGACTGACAGCCCATCAGCACTCAAGAAGAATGAGACAGAGATACCACACATGTGACTGAATCAAACCAACCCAAATTCCTGTGCAAGTTAATTCCATGCTACCCCAGTCTCTTACTGTCCAAGCTACATCACAACTAGCATTGCAACTAGTGTCCTCAGCAGCTTTTAAGGCAGTGACTAAAATGCCTTTCAACTTTTAGGTTGTTCTTGAAAAAGTATGGGTCAGCAGTAAGTTTTTTTGCTATATGAACTAGCTTTCCATCCAAGCATAGTTTGACTTCAAGAGGACTAATTACACGGTCTACTGGAGAACCAGACAACAGAGAATGGCCAAAAGAAGTGAGCTCACCAAGAGTTTCAGGTTAGCATCAGATCTTGAAAAGAGCATCAGAGAAGAAAAATTAGCCTGGAACTACTCATTGCTTAGAAAAACCTCAAGAAGAGCCCATTTACTAATTTTCCTCATTATGTAGTCCTTTAACAGATATGATTCTGGAAGTAATATAATGCTTAGCACATATGCAAGGGCAAGAAGTTTAGATGTACAAGTTCAACATTTCACGTAAAAATAAGTCAAAAGGAAACAAAACTACTGAATAGGGTGATGTGGAGCAAGTGGAGAAGAGATGCAATTAATTTAAGAGCAGCATAAAAATAAAATCTGCATAAAACAGCTCTAATGTTAAATCACACAAGTCAAAAAGTTTACTCTTTATTCATCGTCCTCTTTTGTTCATCTAGTTTCACGTACCTCAGTCTACATAACTCGCTCTTGGTCATGACATGAAGGTGGCATAAAATAATTCTTGGTTTTGGCAGGCAAACTGCACTGCCAAGTTGAACACTTGTCCATGCTTGTTTTGTGAATCCACAGGGGAACAAGTCCCAGACATGGTACCAGTCATCAGGGAATGCTCTGAACCTTTGTTTAGAACAGTGGGTGATGATGATGACTACTGCTGTGACCCCATTACTTTATATACTATTTCAGTAATACAAAGAAGCAGAACTAGTACCTTAATGAGCAGTGAGCCAGCTCACTGCTGCATGACAGAATAACAGCCTTATTCTGTATGTATATATAAAAAAAAAATCTATTTCTCCTTTTGCCTACAGCAGCAACACCCACTGCATTTATTTGTATTCATGTAAAACCTCCAACAAGGAGCATTCTCTCAGCTATTTTAAGTACATTGTGACTATCAGAAATTGCCCTCTGCAGCAGGTACTCATAAATACTGCAGTCTCTGAGATCAGAGCATCTTACAAAAAGACATTTTTCTAATCTGGCACTGTCCTGAATGGTTCTAGCATTGCTCCCACTATTTCTGAGGAGCTAACGACAGCCACTAAGTTTTCCCAAGGCACCATGGAGTTGAATTTAGAAAGTCTTCATTGAAGAAGTGTCTGTTCCTTATTTCAGCTTTGGATTTCCCCCCACCCCCACCAACCGTTGCTTCAAGGGCAGGAGACAGATATTTGAAAAGTGGAAATCAGAGATAACAATAGAATTTGATTTTGAGAACTGATTTTGAAACAGCTCTCACTTATCAACATAAAGACAGGCCAATACTCCAAGGAAAATAATAACAAAGTAACTGTATGATGACTGGAATAAAAACTCTGCTAGTATCTAGATTTGTGCTTTGGGGGTTGATAGCTACTAAGAAAATGCAATTTTTATATTCCATATTATCTTATGTAAGAGTTCACCTTTCACTACAGAAAATATTCTACACAAAAGCCATTCAAGTTACCATAGAAAACAGGCATAGACCTACCAAACTGAAAAATTGAAGCATGACAAGTAAAAGGGCTGAATGGGTGCAGAACAGAGAAGAAAGGTATTACTTAAAAAAATCAATTTGGCAAGAATGAGCGTGCAGGGGCTTGAGGGAAACAGCCCTCTCATCACCCAAGGAAGCAAAACAATACTGCTTAGACAGGCCTCTGCTCAGCAGCTGGACGGAAAGCCATTTCAGAAAAGGCGCATCGTACGCACGGTCACTAACTGTCAGCTAAAACCAGCCTTTGCGCTTTGCAAAGAGGCAGCGCAGGGAGAGTCCCGGTTTAGGTACTGAAGGCGTCTCTGTCTCTAGACCACAGGTGGGATACCACCTCCCTGCGCAAACCGTTAGCGGTGCAGCAGTGGGCAGAGGACAACGCTGTCGAGTTGGCTCAGGAAGTATCGGCACTCGGATGCAGGCTGTAAGCTCAGGTTACAGGAATTACCGTGCATTAAACCAGGACTTTCACTCCTCCGTCCTTCAGCCTCATCGCATCAGAACTCCAAGCACTTAGAAAGCAAACACAATCTGAAGTATCTTACACACAATGAGGGAATCATTTTATTAGATTATGGAAGACAGCAGCATTACAGTACAAAAAGTTACAAGAGTAGCAGAAAAAAAGTGTTTTTGGTTTAAATACTCAGGATTATACTGGGGAACATGAGAAGGATAGTACCCTTTTCTAAACTAACTCCTAACCAGGTTATCAAAATAAGTTTTGAATATTTAGCACAAGTAAAAAAGTTACAACAAACATCATTATAAAATGCTTTAATAAATAGTTTCTTTTCTGAAAGGTTTTTTTTTTTTAAGAACATGTCAAACAAAAATGTATTAAAACAGAAGATCCTGCAAAGCAAATCCTGCGTTCCTGTATAAAATAACTGGTTTCAAAACATTCATGTTTACATTGTTCATGGGCCAGAGTTTATACTCTCAAACATCCGCTCCTCTCACTGGTTGGGTAACTAGGTGTATGTAGTGTTATGCTTCTTCAGTAATTAAAATAAACTTATAGTTTGCCCAGTTAATAGCAATAATAAAGCCTTTAAAAAAAAAAAAAACAAAAAACAAAACGCATAAGCCTTCCATTACAAGTAACCATTTCTAATGAGGTACTCCCATCTTCTGAGCTTGCCAGCCTTTTTTCTTTAGAGCGAAAGATGAATAAAGCACAACACAAACAAGATTGAGGAAAATATTGTTCCCTTCATTAGGCCTGTATTTAAACGCAAAAAAGTAATACCACATGTAATTAACATATTCACAAAAGAAAAAAACAATGCCTCGCTATGTTGGTACTGTACAGTAGATGCACCCGTTAGTGTTCTTGAGATGGGCTGAACATGGGGATAAACAAACATTTCTGGATCTATTTACACGTAAGTGGTTATGTTCCTATGTAAATACAAATGACCAACAGATTCCTAACATTGATTGTATTAACATCACTTTCTAATCTGGACATAATACCAAAAAAAGTCTTATAAACTGCCATAAAACCTCCTTTTCTGCAACATAAATTAAAAGGAATGACATGTAAAAAAAAGACCAAAATATTTAAGTTATTAAATCAAATATACAGAGTGATTCATTTAATATGTACATATTTACAAAAAAGCACTATTAGAAAATAAACTGTGTCAGTTGGGGAACCTAGAGTTCTCACAATTTTACTATATTGATATGGCAGTCTTTGACAGTTGCTATAGAAAAAGTTTAATCTCAAGGCACTTGTCACATGCTTCAATACTGCAATTCTAAAGTAATTAAACAGAAATAAAAAGGCCACTTTTAAACCACAGTTGAAAGATCTCTATAATTTTTTTGTTCCTATTACAAAGTGTGTAAGGCAAATTTGGAAAAAATCTTACAGAAGCTACTAACGTAACAAGTGCAGTGAGCTGCCATTAATAGAGATTCAAAGTCAAGAAAGCAGTTTAAAGTTCACACAATTTCCTCAACCAGGAGGTTTTAAAGCCACCATTAAATTAGAGCAAGTAATAAAAAGAAATACATTCTGTAAACAGTGTACAGTCTTTTGTAATAAACTTTACACATATTGAAAATACAACCTCTCCTCTGCCACACAGCGAGTGTATTATAAGTAAACTTTACAAAAATAGCAACTATCAAAGATTACTCATTTTTTTCATCTGACAGTCATTGAATAATTTATACAAGGCTAAAGAAACAAAATAAATTTTATTTATTATTTTTATTTATTTTTTTTTTACGCAAAATAAAGAAACTATGAACATTTGACTCCAGATATTTTTAGTCCTTGATGCAAAGTGGAGATGTCAATTTTTCTCCTCCCCAGTAAGTGTAGGCGCACTCTGCCTACATTCCAAATACAGGTTAGTCTCTACTGCCTTCAAAGTTTGATGCATTCACATTTTTTACAGATCTGTTGTCCATTTTGCCTATTTGATGGGATTTCTTTACTGGACTGCTCTCTGATGTGTCAGATGCCTTTGTTGGCAAAGGCTTCGCAAGTTTGTGAGAGAGGAATTTGTCCATTTCCTCATCTCTTTCCTCCTCTTCATCCTCCTCTTCCTCATACTCTACATACTCCTCTACTGCATCACAAGTTCTTTTTTGAGGGGATATGAAGTTTTTGCATTCATAACGAATGTCTTTGTTACTGTAAGATCTGTCTATAGGATTTCTTATAGGATTTAAAGGTGCCCACTGGTTATTGGCACCCTCTTCTCTGGGAGGACTTCTTCTCTCTCTCTCTTTTCTTCTCTTCCGAGTCCACCACACGCAGATGATTATACAAGTCAGCCATACAATGCTAAATACTGCACAAAGAATTGGAACCAAATAATCTAGAGGGCAAATGAAAAAAAAAAAAGTCTTGAGTTAACAGAACTAGATACATAGCACTGGACATCTGCAAGAGAAGTATCCACATGTAACTACAGGTTAGCCACAGAAAGACTTTTAAGAGAAAGAGATGTCATTACAGCACAGTGATAACTGTCTGAATGCACCAGCTCATCTAGGAATGCTCTTTACTAGTTTAAGTTTTCCCTGCTTAATGATGATGGGGGGAAAATGCTACATTTGAGATGTTTTTCCCCTCCAACAGACAAGCTGGTTATATAAGCAGCATCTCTTTCTCAAGCACCTAAGCTAAGTTGGCCCAGAAAACCCCAGTAATGCCTCTCAAGAAAAAAAGTCTATTGTTGTAGGAGGCAGGCTAAAAAGAATATTATGCCTCTAAGTTGCTCTAGAAGTACTGGCATTTGCATCAGAAATATGTCCTGCATTTACTATCAGAAAGAAGAGTGCTTTACCATCAAGGGCACAGACCTTTATGTATCAACTATCTCAAAAAACATTCAGGTTAGAGCTACGTAACCAAATCAACCATGCACTCCTTAGGATGTTCCAGTTTTACTTCAGAGTAAAGCCCCAGAATATTGTCCCTAGAAATTGTCTTCACCACTCAATGAATACACAAAAGGAGTTGAGGCAATTGCTTTTCTCCACATTCCCAATCACAACCCCCAGTAGTGCTCTCCCAGCCACACAGACTATTTCTCAGGGAAACCATTCCTGAAAAGTTATGTACGTTTAGACTTTCCCCTCCCCCTCCTCAAGGGCTTTACTGCTAGGATAGAACAACAACATTTTTCTACTCTTCTCGATAAGCAAGAATTCACACATGGTAAGACGCAATAAGACATCAGGTGCTTTGCTTTTTGTAGAGACAGCAGGACTGCTCAAAAGCTTTGCAGACAAATTCTGTCAACCTACCACTCCTAGCCTCTGATCCAATCACAAATTCCCTCTACAGTTTTAAACAACTGCTTACAGAATAACCTGCAAATGGCTGTACAAAAACAACCGACTGCTTCAACACCACAGTCATTCATTCTAACGTTAAAGTGTCTTCTGAACATACCCTTATGTGGAATATGACGCCTTCTAAAATGTTTCCTTCTGGTAAAGAGGGATGAATAAACTGTGAACATAGTTGGCCTCAAGCAATCCAAAAATTGTATTTTAGCAGTTTTGGGAAGAATTATACTCTTAGGAGTAACTGCTATTCTCTCCTCATTTTTCATAAGCAATCTAATTCTAAACCATGAATGGGGGGAAAATACTTTAAGGAAAAAGGAGCTCTTCATACCAGCTTCTCCAAGACTACAATACAAAGCTTGCATTATCACTGCTATCACATCTATTATTTCATCATATGACTGAGGATCCAAGTTTACTTAATAAAAGGTTCTTATACAGAGAACTGTCTGTGTACAGATTCCAAATTCAGAATGTTTTTTCTTAAAGCTAGAGGAAATTAGTGTCTAAATGATCATCTCCATCTATACTCTTAAGCATCCCACAAAAATAAGATTCTCAACACAGACACAGGGCTTTACATCAGATTTTGTGATAAGATTTTCACCTATCTCACCCAATTAAGGGGTATCAAACCAAATCAAAGAACATGAGAGTCCAGGTTACAGCTTACTTCATAACAACTCCACTTAAAGAACTAGAGGCCAGTGGTCAATACTGAGCATCCATAATAAAATGAGGAGTCTGGAAACCATTGTCTAGCAGTAGCTGCAAGAGAAGTCAAAGCCTATCCACTTTCTTAGGAGAATCTTTGAATTTTATTGAGGTAAGAGGCAAAGTAATCTCCATCCCTTTTGCCCTAGCACTTAACACACAATCAGAAGAAAGAAAGGCTGAGGTATGTCGGAATCTCAGCTCGATTCTTTATCATCTACAGGATTTCTGTTCAAGACAAGACCAAAGCTGGTACACTCCTTCAGGGGAGCTGGGAAAATAGTACATTTGCCAAGGCTTTAACAGATGAAAGGCATTCCGTAGAAGGGAAATGCAAGGGAAGTGGAACCAGGCAATTTACTAATTATTTGGACTATGGGTGGAAGATCTTTCAGAAGATTATGTTGGGAAGGTCTAGGAAAAACTTGGGAGAGTCTCCTACTATTGTAAGATTTCCACTCTGGGGCTTAGCTGAACTGGAAACTACCAGGGGTCTTCCACAAGACTGTCTCCTGCCTCCCCCAGGCAGGAACAGAGGCATGCAAAATCTTCAACTGCTTATTTTGGCATAGCTCTTGGAAAGCCAATATTCAGAGGTAAAGGTCTCTCCAATCACACCATATCCTCATTAAGAGGAATGAACATTACATTTTAAGCCAGCTGTGCACTAGTGAGAAACACATGTTGAAAAACAGAGCAAAGATTTATGTTATCGTGTCCAAGTATTGGAAGATACCAGACACCTTTAAGTATTGTTAAGGTAAATAAAACATAAGCACTTCAGAAGAGAGTTGGTATCACACTATGTATCTTCCCCCTCCCCATATTTTCATTACTTCACAGCCTCAGTTTCTACAGTGCAGCAGGATCAAGGGCTGAGGTTGGCTTAACGTTAATGTAGGAGAATCAGAAAGGATTTGAACAGCTCATGAGAAGAACTCCTGATCTTGTGAAAGGCATGCTTAGACTGGAGAACAGGGTTGGAAGTCAGAGCCAAAACAGTGGCAAGGGTAGGTGGGGATGCTAGGGATGGGGTTAGGTTTAAACTAGCACACAAGCACAGAATTTTGATTTTAAAGCCACTTCCTCTTCAGTTAGTAATAGCAATTAAAGAAAAAACCTGATCTATCATTTTCCCCAGCAAGTAATGAAAGACAAGACTGACAGTAAGGGAACAGAAAATGCTTACACACACAGATGTATGCATTGGGAACCTTACCTGATGATGAATTCCCAACAACGATGGTTTCTACTTTGACTTCAGTTACTGCCAACATAACAGTGCTGTTTTGCCGCTTAGTGATTGCATTTACTATTGTATTAGCAGCATTCTGTATGAGACTATTATCTTGTTCATCTTGATGTGGAACAAAAGACTAAAGGGAGCGAAGGGGAAAAACAAAAGTTATTGCAATCAGCTAACCATGGAAATCTACTTTTTAAATTCAGCTACATCTTAATTGCGTTCACTAGGTTGAATTTACCTGACAGTAGTTACAAAAGTAACCTAGTAGTACAAAAGTACCCTAAAGGTTTACTGTAGCAATAGCATAGCTGGCTCTATCCAAACTACAGATGCAGTGTCAGACTTGGTGGGTAATACGCCTACTTGTTAATCTAGCATACCTCAAAAGCCAGCTGACTTCCATGTTACTTACACTGCTGAGCTAAACTTAGTCATAGTTTGGAGCACTTCAAGTCATGTGGATTATCTAGATAGAAGCTTGGACTAATAACAGTCTGCTCTATTTATACCATACACTTTGCTTCCTGCATCATGGCTCAGCATGTTCTTTATGGTACTGGTAGAGACAGACAGTACAGCTTCTGCCTGGATAAACACTTTACTATGAAAATTAACTCTTTCTTGGAAACTAAGCAACATGCAAGTGCTGAGTGATTGGCCTGTAAATGCCTCTGAACCTAGTCTTTAGCTCAGTAGGGCAATAGCTACTTTCATCTACTCAGCTTGCACCTTCTTCTACTTCCCACTTAGCACATACGTTTAATGAACATCCTGAAGCAGCCATACTTTAAATGCACAGCAGAAACTTCTTCACAAGAACCAGTCCAGCCACCTGCAACCATATCTCCTTACTGAAAAGGTCAATAGCCCAAGATTTCTGACATAACAGGCACCTGTTCACTAATTTGGGCTGAATTAGTTTTTAGAGTAATTTATCAGGAGGTTGTGGTAGCCTTCTGTTATTAATGAAACCTGCAGTTTCAGCTATCTGGCATTATAGGAAATTGCAAGATCACAAAATTGCTTTGCAGTCAGGCTAAGCCACAGACTGCAGTACCTGCATTGAAGTGAAACAAGCTTAAACCTCTACCCCAGCATAAGCTATTAAGAAAACGTTTTTCTATATATTAATACAAGTCTCGTACTTACAATAGCAACTTCCACTGCATTCTCTGTGGAGTAAGACAGATCACATAGTATTATCAGAGTTCTGTCCCTAGAAACAGTCCTAGTAGCTGGTAAATACCGAATTTCAGAACAGATATTTTCAGTTGTAGTGCCCTGTTAGAAGCAAGGGAGATTGCATGACTTTTAGTTTAAGTAAAAAGTAGTACATAAAAGTAAACATCTTCAGAGTTTTTGCAGTTACTGAGACCTGATGAAGGCAGCAAGAAAGGGCAAAAAAGTGAAGAACAGTGTTTTGGAATTAAGGGTGAGAAACTGAGCTTGCATAACTATCCTAGTATAGTCTGAGCCCATCTTGAAATGTAAGAAAGTAGTTCTTTCAGATTTAAAAAACGAAAATAAAATATTCAGTACAAACCCTAATATTGCCTTGCCCTTTAGACAAAGCACAATTAATAGCAATAGAGAAGTCTAATAACAAATTTTGCAAGTTTATGACAACAAGGAGTCATATTAGAAACATTAATCCTCCATGTTTTGACATGGAATATATCCCTACATATATTGCCATACTTCATTAATAATTTTGTTCTCACCTGAGGGACTTTGTCTCCGTTAAAAATTAAAGTAATTCTAGCACAGTCATTGTCCAAGTACCCAGAATTAGGCAGACACTTGATATTGGCAGGCAGAGGTTCAGAGGCACCGCATTCTCCCCAGTCTGTGCATGGTGGCTGAAAACATTTCATATACTTCTCCTGGCATTCTTGACCCATGGGACACTGGTTATTTGAATTATCCCAGTGTTTGTGTAACAGACAAGGTTTTTTCCCACACCACACCTAGAAATTAAAAAGAACAAAGTACTGTTACAGTTAATTGCTCTTATACATCAAATCAAAATAACCAATTCACATAAGATGGTCAAGCTCTACTACCGTCTGCAAAAAATCCAGATTTCAATACTGCTGTAGTCCTAGTAGCAGATGGAGTTGCTCTTCCACAAAATGAGGACATTTTGTATGGACAAAAGAGTAAAAACGGTGCAAAGATTACCCAAGACACCACTGACTGGGCATATCCCCTTAGAGGCTTATGGATTTGTCCCACATAACTGAGTTATACAGAAATTCAAGCATCTATTTTGAACTAGTCATCTAGGCTTCTATAATCTAGAAAGAGAAACACCTCCACAAGGATTAATTTCTCTTCAGTATTTATACCGAGATCCTTGCGACAGAACGCTGAAGATGTTAAGGGCTGATGCACATTGGTGATAAGCACTGTCGCTTCAACCACTCTCCCAAAAGAAAACAGTATGCTGGTACCCCCAAGTTACTGAGGTGTAGCAAGCTTCCAAATGTGGCTCCATTTCATGATGTAACCTCTAAGATTCTATATAATACTATACAACTATTAGTTTAGGAACCTATGGATTTCTTAAAGCACAGCTGCAGCAAGAAAGAGTATTTTTTCCATTACACATGAAAGCGCCAAACACCTTATATGGGTAAGTTGCATTTACCGCACCGCCATTTCTGAGATTCTAGTTACCTTCATGTAGTTATCTTCTGAAGACATCTCAAACTTGAAATCACACCACCATAGAGTCTAAAATAGCATTTCTAAATGACTTAGTTATTTCTTTGCCTACAGCGCATACCTAGCTAAACAAATAAGATTAAGGCTAGATAGATTAGTAAGACCCAGAGGTTTTTAAACTGGTGCTTCCAGTGAAACGTGGGAGACTGCTCTGTAAAGTAATGTTCTAAGTGCTATTAGCGCTCATCTGGACCCACTCACCTAGCCCTACAACTTGTAAGCAGCACTGATCTTGTCTATCTCCAACTGTGATGTAAAGCTGCACAGGTACCACAAATCCACTGAGAAATGCTATCTTGGGAGGGCTGAAAGGCTTGGAACACATATACTAACATGTTCAATCTGCATTTAGGCTAGTCTTATTTTTTTTCTAAGTCACAACCACCAGGATATAGTCCATAATAAATATATAAAGGTTGCAATTTGTCAATTCATAAACCTACTGAAGGACAATACAAAAAGAAGATTATTACCCACTGAAGAAACTTTTCTTCCTACATGTCCTTTACCTTGGAACTAATGTTTCACAAAATTAGGATCTCTAAAACTGTTTGTAAAGCTTTGTCAGAGTGATTTATTTATCCTTTCAAGGGTCATTATTCCATTCCAGTTCATATTTCCTTTTCTGCAAGAAATGTCTGTCTGCTTCTAGAGAGCTTCTTCTAGCAGATAGAGAGCAGGACAGCAGCTTATGATTATAAAGACAGTCCTATAAGTATTTTCACAGGAAGTCATTAGACCCTTTTTTCTTTTTTTCTTTTTTTTTTTTTTTTTTAAACAAAGGCAGTTTGGGGGAGACTTATGCAAGAGTCTAGATGGAAAAAAAAAAAGAGATTAACTTGTGCACAATGAACAGCAAGTTTGTTTCAGCCAGAAGGATGTAAGAATATAGGTCAAAATGCCTACCTTGGTGCAGTCAATACGGCCATCCAAACAGTGGCAGTTGTTGCATTCTTGATCCCATCTGCTGCCATGGGGAAAGGTCATTCCTTTAAGCCAGCAAGGCTTTCCAATTCCAATCACTAAGGAGAAAAAAAAAAAAGCACACTCAGACACTTTACCTCTTCAAGTTACTGAAGCCATACAAGTTTAAATCAGAAAAATACTAGCTACTGTTCCTTACATATCAGACTACTATATATAAACTCTATACTGCCTACATTGTACCCTACTGTTTGGGTAAAGGTTGATTGCAGATATAGAAATACCTTCTTGGCATCTAGGACCAATTCTTCCAGGGGGACAAGTGCATCGGTATCCATTTATTTCATCAATACAAGTGGCACCATATCCACAAGGGGAAGACTGGCATTCATCAATATCTAGATAGAAAATAGGTAAAACTCAATGGCAAGGATGTAGAACATTTAAATTAAACATTTACTGAGACGTAATCTGACAATACCCACTTTCTTAAAGAAAGGACAGTTTGGCTTCAGAATTAGTCCTGTAATTGGATAGTTCTACCATTTCAGCAGTAACCTCTAACAGGTTTCTTGTAACTGCACCCTAACTGAAGTTCTGGTGATCAAAGAAAAGCAGTCATATGCTGACTCATCTCACAGAGCAAAGGTGTTAGACAGCTGAAGGTGCTAATGTCTTCTCCACATTCAGCTATAGAACTGAAGTCACACATCCTGTTCTGACACCAATCTTAGGCATTTAGGCTTCCCAGAAAAGCACATGCTTTCAGGAAGTTATCACAGTGCAAGAGCTGTACAATGACTTGGCTCAACAGTGCTTGAAAAAAGTGACTTACTACAATAGAATTCACCATAAGGAAGAAGAGTAATAGTTTAGTTTGTAACATTTGATGTTACTTTTCTTAATAACTTTGAAATAGTGAGTAGATTAATTTAGTACACACACAATTAGCACAAAAGCCTCTTAAAAAAAACAACCTTCAAAGATTCAGAGGCTTAGCCATAGAAACCTATTGAAAAAGGCAGGGAAGCATAGTCCATTTGATGCACAGCAGTGTGTTGTTATCCTGGGGAAGTGACCAATACTAATTTATGCAACAGTCTGCCAACAAAGGCAACAGAAACCAACCTGTCAAGTTGCGAGCCACAGGCACCAACTGCTTAATTTTCAACCATAACCATTCTCTTCCAAAACATCTTTCAAAAGGTTTCCTTCCATTGAAAATGAAGGCCCACTCCAACCCCTCAGAAAAACTGTTTAAACAGCAGTTTTTGACTGATGCACAGTATCGTTTCATCTTCCGTGTTTGAAGGACTGGACTTAGAAAGTGAACGTGATAAACGGTAGTAGTGAGACTGTTACCCACGTAGGCCATGGAAAATACCAAATGGATGTGGAAGGGCTTTTGGTGCTATTCTAGCTTCTTTCAGAAGCACTCCAAGATGAACTTTGATGCAAATACGTAAGTATCTAAACTACTACAGGATTTAACTACTCTTTCCTCCTCTCTTCAAGCTATGTTGGTTTAAGATTATCCAGCCTCTGTATGCTGAAAAAAGTGACTGTTAACTCTGTTTCTGTTATTAGCCATAAAAGGCATTTTTGTCAGAGCTACTCCTTTTGTCTATACCAGTCTAAACATGAAAAAAAGTCTGCAGTCCCATTACAAATGCACAGTACTTGCCTTTGACTACAAATAGTCCTCTCTGCATTTCTTGTCTGGAAAAGGAGAATTCAACATCCCTCACTGCGTGTCTGGATCTAGATACGTGATTTATCTGCCATCCCTGGTTCTATGTCCAGAGATTACTAAGCTGATGCTACCACAAGTACTAGTCACCCTCTGACTAGAGATGTTGGCTCATTTACTACCTGCCAGAATGAGGATGAAATCTCAACTTGAAAGCACACCAACATACTGATGGAGTAGAAGGACCAAGCCCAACAGCCTTGAGGCTACAGAAGACTCAGTCTGATCTTCTGAAGAGGTAAAAATAAAATAAAGTAAAAATAAGGTATCTATCACATGCAAGTCAAAATGGTAATATTCCATTTAAAAAAAAACAAAAACGCAGACAAAAAACCCCACCAACAAAAAACCACCAACTCTTCCACAACACTTCAATGCAGTTTTAGGGTCTTTTGTTCCCCCTTCTTTTCAGTTTCTATCCTTCAGGATAATTCAGTGCAACAGGTTTGTTTTATAGCTTTGAAAGACCTTTATCATACTTCTGTTGTTCACATGCCAGCACTACAGTCGTGATGTTTTTGTTTTCATTTGTGATGTCTCAGTGGATTTCAGTTACTAATGTTAAGTGGAACATGTAGTGATATACGTCATCTTTAACAAGTTGCTTATCAGTAAAAATACTTAATAAGCTTCTATAAAGCCAGCACCCCAGAACCTTCAGAAATGTCTGACAAAGTTCAGCAACCGGTCTTTGAGTATAATTTAAGCAACGCAGTTCCATTTAATGAAATGAAGAAAGGAACATAAGTTGCCATTATTTACAAGCTATCAGTACCTGGCTGACTGACAGGTGGCTTCTGCTTCATTATTTGGAATTCAGCTAACCTAATGCAAAAAGGGTGACAGGGTGTTCTTTCCGATTTGTGTGTCAGAATGGTACACTCTTTCAGTTCTTTACCCATACAGGTACTTACTAATTCTGCAGTCAGGGCCAGCAAACCCAGGCGCACATTCACATCGAAACCAATTCACACCATCAACACAGATGCCTCCATTGTAACTGTAAAAATAATAAACCTATCATTACACCAAGCGTTCTTGGTGTAGATTCACTAGTCTAAAGATGAGCAAAAACCATAGGTCTCATGCAGCATGTTCAAATGCATATTTCTATTGTCCCTAGTCATAATACTTTCTCACTATTCAATAATGCAGAATTTAAAAGTCCATCCTAATTCATAATATGAATCTACTTAATAAGCCATATACACTGTTTCATTAGTCTCTAATTAAAGCTTTGTTAATTAAACCTTCTGTTTAGAGGGATGATCTATTCCCATCAACAGAGAAAGAATAATGTTAGATAAAAAATACTGCTTGGTAAGTCACCTATAAAACAGCAACAAGTACATGCATGCGTGAGGAAGTGGATCAACAGAACTCAAGGAGATAAAACAGCACTGTAAAGTGAATATGGAGAAAGCCTAGGCTTTTGCAAAGTTGCTTTTTTGTTTTTGTTTTTTGGGTGTTTTTTTTTAATACACAAAGTACAGGTTATTGCATCAGAATGGACAGCAGAGAAAGATACTGTAGATAGTTTGCCTCATCCCCATATCAGTATTTTTCCCTTTCAATCACAAATATCAATGTCTATATTTAAAATACTCCCACTATATCTTCCAAAAAATTAATTTTGTTTTAAAAACACATTTATACATAGTATTTGATCTAACAGGACATTTTTATATTATCTATTTATTGTAAATAAACAGGTTTTGATTTCTTTTTTTTTTTTATCCTAAAACTCAATTGTAGGTGCTTGAAATGTTATGAAATCTGATTCATTTCATATCACAGTAATTTACTAGTCAGTTTTGGTACAAAGACTACACTAAAATACTTCTACCTGTTCATACATGAATCAACTCAGCATTGTTTTGTTGTCTTTGCTGTCAAGGAATAGTTAAGGCATGGCAAAAAATTGTTTTAAGATTTTTTACAGAGGCCGCCTTTAATTATTGTAGGGTAAAATTAGTTCTAATCTGGAATGGAAATCCATATTACTATGCTCGCTTTTGTTTTCACAATAGTTACAGAAGTAGCATTCGCATACTTACCATGGATGAGGGTTGCAGTCATTGGTGTCTACAAAAAAAAAGAATACAGACTAGTGTAACTAGTGGCACATTTATGTTCTAATGTATAATATTATAGTTCAAGAGACACTATATTTGACAGAAAGCAAAGTAATACAGCATTGAATGTTTTCTTCCACACTTGCAAAGAAAGTTCAATTAGACCTAACAGACCAATGAAAGACCTTAAATTCTACGAACAGACTCACAAATGCAAAATTTTACAACTTTGCTGTATTTTGATATATCAACAGCACAGATTGACACACAGTGTGATGGCAACATAACAGAAATAAAACAGGGTATTGGTTGCATTGGTCGTGGATAATTCAACCAGGCTCTAAAAGCTTTCTAAAGGATTACTACTACTTCAGCATTTCATATGTATACCTGCAACTAGCCAGATTTCTTAAACAAATCTTTCCCATAATAAACGGCTTCGAATTCTTTGTTAGCATTTATACTAGCACTGTCAGCTTAAAAACAGCTGATTAGAGCATATATCAATACAACAGTAATTTCACAGTAGATCTAGAGTAAAAATGGAGCTCAAATTTAGATTCCCCCCCCCCGTCACACTTGGGGGGGGGGAAAAAAAAAAAAAAATCAGAGTTGCAGGCTTTACTCCACCTAACCAATTCATTTTATTGGTATGTCAACATAGTTAACTGCTATCCTCAGAGAAAATGGAATATACACTACTGCATGCCTTTCCACATATTTTTCATTATTAAAATCAGTATTTTCTGCAAGGATATTTTTGCTCTGCACATGTTCCCAAAAATTATATTTCTATAGAAGGCTGAAAGTCTTATTTTGGCAGAGACTAGGTGCAAAAAGAAGCATGCCAAGTTCTTCATTCATTACTCGAGCATCATCTTCTTTACCTACCTCCCACCCTGAATGATTCAGATATTTTGGCACATGAACTCTATAAACTTGCTTTGTTTCAGTTAACAGCTCTGTGCCAGACACTCTTAATATACCAGGGGAAAGCAGGGGAAGAAAGGAGAAAAGCCTTACTCTGTGTGCATGTACGTCCTTCCCATCCCTCTTTGCAGATGCAAGAAAAGGAATCTCCACTGCCAACACATGTTCCACCATTCATGCAAGGGTTTAGAATACAGCTGCTGTTTTTAGCTTTGAAAACAGAAAAGGTCTCGATTTAGCACAGAAAATAAAAACTATCTAATCATCTGGATATGTCAATATCACAATCCTGAATAGCATTTAAGTCAACAGTACAAGACTTACAAGATGGTCAGAAGACTCCAAAAATAGTCACATCACATGATAATCTCTCACCTACCTTTATCACCATCCCAATTCAATTGTTTGATTGAAACATTAAGTTTCACAGAAAAATTATCTATTTTTTCCCTATCTGTGTAAGTGTCCTTCAAATACTGCCGAATTCCTACTTTGCAGTGAGTTACCCAGGTCATGAGGTGTACTTCATAATAAAATACTAGTATTTAAAGTTCAGATTTTGATTAAATGCCACAATTGTATGCAGAAAGTAGAAAAGCTATACTAAGTTATCTTCATCCAACTTCTTGGTCCCAATGGAAGTTTCGTGTTCAGAAAAATGTACCACAGAGACTACATTCAAACCTCAGAAAGATCAAGAGTAGTTCCCTATAGCAGGCAGTAACCCTGCAAATCCCCTAGGAAGAACCACTTCATTTCATTTTTCCTGAGTATGTCTTCTCATATGCCTTTCGATCACAAACTTACTCCATTATGAACCTTCAAGCAAAGTGGGGGACTAAGTTCCCAAGAAAACTTTTACACAGGGTCTCTAAAGACTAACAGAGAAGTCAAGACTCAAGTCCAAGTGTTCCAAATCTGCTTAGGAGAAGCTATGTGCAAGACCATGTAAGCAGCCTGCAGAGAACAGCTTCCTAAAAATCAGTATCATGTCAGCTGAGTGGAAGAAATTAATCTAAACTTCAGTCACCAGCCAACTAGAACAGCTTTGAACTAGCCAGCTAGAATGGTGTGCCTATTTACTAAACAGTTAAATATTATTTAAACACTTCTCTACCTCTTCTGGCTTTATCTGTAGACAATTTAAAAAGCTTACCAGTGTTGCAAGTACTTCCTATCCATTCTGGAGGACATGAACAGCGGAATGTATCTCCATCATCATAGCACGTTCCACCATTGCTACAAGTATTCGCATCACATTGGTATTCACCTATGCATCACAATAAAACAGTTTTAATCTCCACTGGTCGTGCTGAATTTTAAGACCAGGTACTTTTTGATCACAAAACTACTTTTAAAGAGACTTCATATTTAAATGCAACAGTACTAGAAATGCATAGTTCCACTTGCTGCATTGCAGTAAACAACCAAAAGAGTGGAATCTAAGGGCATCTCTTACAACACTATTTCACTACATTTTTTTAAATGTTCCATTTTGTTGCTGGGAAACTGGAAAAGGTAATGAATATATGCCTATTATTTCACTGCAATTGTTTTATTTTAAATTTCAGGAACTCTAGTCTCATGAGAAGAAAGAAAACAAATCTTTGGATAAACTAAAGATCAAAGTAAAGAACACTTACGTGAATGGCAAGTTTTGCCTTTCCAGTCATTCTTACACTCACAATAGAAGTCATTTACCAAATCAATGCATCGGCCACCGTTGTGACATGGATTAGGAGAACAGTCATTGAAATCTAGAAAAAGAGTTATTCAAATTAGATGATCTAGCCCAGCCAAGGCCATGAAAAAGTATAAAATACTTCTTCATAAAGGAAATAAATTGTGTACTACTTCAGAAGACAGCATTCCTAATTGTTACGGGGTTATCTTTATACAAGCAAGTAAAAAACTCTGATTTAATACAGAACAATATGAATTATGAAAGATTTTCTGACAGCTTAAGAGAAAAAGTATAATTTAGTATGGCTTTTAAGTAGAGCACCAAAGTAGTTTCATTTTTTCAGCAAAGAAGCTGTATTCTAAACTTCAGAGAAAACTTTCTAGTAGGGACCACAATGTCCTGAAAAGGAGCCCCAACCCAGGACATCCACATTAGGTTCCCTCTCCTGCTTTATGTCTCAAAATACAGAGAGTTAAAGCCATTAAATGGCTTAACTGTATATACACATACATACATATATATATGTGTGTGCATACATACATTAAACATACACGTAGACATACCATGAATTTTAGAGGAGGTTCTTTTCACTTGAGAAACGTTTTAATAGGTAGAACATAATTACTCCAGACCGAACTTCATCTAGACCACACAGAAAGCTCTTCTGACAGCGATAGCTGCCAAAAGCTTCTCAGTCTTTATTTCACATCTCAATTGGTCCATGTCCTGTAATAAGTCTCAGCAAGTCCTTGCCATCATGTTTTAGAAGGGGCTTCATTCAGAGCAGAAAAAGAACCAACTGCAGTTTCCTCTGAGGTAACATAACCATGAACTGGCCTAGTAGGCTTCTTTGTCAACTAAGGCCCAATATGTCTCAAGCCAGAGCAGCAAGAGTAAAGCCCTGCTCCCATTGAACCCAGAATACAAAACACTGACTCATGATATTCATTGAGAAAAAATTCAGACTTCAACAGTTCTTTTCTTACTAAAGGAATAGATATTAAACTTATAAATGCCTTCAGTAAGGTGGAAGTGCATTACAGCTTGCACTGGCTTGAAGCTACAAAGCTTTTCAAGTTTGGGAACTACTGTGCATGAGTAGATTGGGTGAGGCACAAACTGTTATGTACAGTAAGTACTAAAAAGTACGTATGCTTATAGCAATAAATGCAATATAACAAGTTGACCCCCTAACAGGGTATATTCACTTTTGCCTCTACTCAGGAGAAAAAGAAGTTCTCTCCTCCTGAGATACATCCTGTACTATACCAAAGAATCAGATTATGGTCATATTAAAGGAACTGAGCCTTTTAGAGCTGCTACCCAAAAATCTTCTTGAAAATACTTTTGCAAACAATACTGGGTAGACTGTAATTATAGAACAGAGAAACTACCCCATTATTATTAACCACATACCAACCATCACTAACTGTTACAGCAAAGTTGTAATATTTGACCCTGCAATGCTTAGCAGTACTCACTTGTGTCACACAATTCTCCTTCCCAGCCACTTGAGCAGAAACATCTAAATGAATCAACTTCATCAATGCACGTCCCACCATTCTTGCAAGGTTTCCCAAGACAATCATTGATATCTATGACAAAAAGTCAACAATTATCACTCAAGGCTGTCTTCACCTACCTAAAGGAGTGATCTACACTTTTGTCTCTAGGAAAAGCAGCACAAAGTTATAGTCCATTTGTACATACATAAGAACAGCTCAAACATCTGTTTTCAAGTCTGGCAAGGTTTCTAGATGTAGTCTCTCATGTAGCAAGTCAAACCAGGGCATTAAGTTTACCTGGCAAAAATATCCAGGTGTTCAAGAAATACCTGGAACAACAATATACACACTCCTAAGTTGTGCTGTCAATGCGTCTGTCCCTTCTTTATCATTCCCATGTTGGTGAAATCCATGGTGTCTTGTAAGACCATACATAAAGGTAGTGGGTACAGACACATTCACAATGAAGTTGGAGAAAACCAGTTTTCTTTCACAGAGGAAGCGTGAACCACTACGAAAGACAACTGTTACCAGAAGAAACTGGATTTCAAGCAGTACAACTGAAACAATGCTCTGTGCAACTTAAAATAAAACATTAAGATTTTAATAATGTTGTAAAGATGCATAACAAAAACTTTAAGTTTTAGAGCAACAAAATCATTTGGAAGAAACTCCTACTTACTTTCATGACAGTATATTCCAGTAAAACCTCTTTCACAGGCACAAGTAAAATTCCCTCCTGGCTGACTAATACATCGTCCATGAGGCCCACAAACATTAGATGAAATGAAGCGAATTCCTTCTTGGGTAGCATTAGTGAAGACTTCTATTGTACAGCTGTCTATTACTAAGAATGAGAAGTACATCATCAGACTAATAATCTGCATCACCAATCAGTTTTTTTAGTTTTAAAAAAGTTATCAAAAAATTAAGACTAATCACAATTTAGAAGTTACATTAACTGTAAGTTACCCTCTACTTCTTTATAAATAAGGACTTTTACAAGCATTTCTTCTCACTGCCTCACTATTTCACAAAGTCCAAGTGAATACAATAAAAACGTTTCTGCATTATGCTATTCCCAGAAATATTACCTTTCTTTTTAATGTACCACCAATAAATTAAGACAAGTTTCTGGACAACAGCAGGTACCTTTACAAGAATTGTTCTTGCAGTGGTCCTTGAGATGAGAACAATTCTTTCCATCATAGTCATCAGGGCAGGCACAGTAATAGTCTCCTCCTAGATCATAGCACTTAGCCCCGTTCTGGCAAGGGTTAGGTTCACAGAAATCAATATCCATCTGTAAGAGAGACCATAGTTAGCAGCAGCTGCTTCATTTCCCAGGAGTAAGCAGCATTATCTATGTTGCCAAAGACACAGATGAAGCTAATATACAGGGAACCTCAAGTTTATAAGAGGGTTTATGAATCATATATATTGCATTCCATCCTGCAACAGAGAAACTTCAGGTTACGTTAGTCAATCCTAATACAAAGCTTTTCTAACACTGCTAAAAAGTTATTCCTTTGCAGGAGGCTGAATAAGCATGTTTGCAATAACTTCGCAAAGAAGCAGCCATTAAAAGACATCTTACTGTGACTATTCTGGATTATTATAAGTCACTTCTCTGTCCTTCACACCCACATACTAAGTGCGATGATGCAAGTTAAATACCAGTGTGCTTGTCAACATTGTATCTGCAAGATACTTAAAATACACAGAACCTTAAAAAACCCCAACCCTATTCTCCAGAGCATCCTTATCTCAATTAACACATAGAATTTTTTATAGAACCACATAGCTTGGAAGGGACCTCTAGAGGTCAGCTACTCCCTACCTCCTGCTCAAAGTAGGTCTAGTTAAAATCAAGCTGCTCAGGGCCTTATTCTTACAAATACTATCACCATGCCAATTTGCACACGGAAATACTAGGTACATTTTGAACACTTCTTACCATCTAAATCAAAAAGCAAAACTTAAACCTAGCTTTCGTGATATAACCCTTAACACAGACAAATTGCTGTAGCAAAGCAATTCTGCTTCTTCTACATCTTAGACTGAAACACAAGATCACTGATTGGTGATGCCCTAAATTGGCCTCAAAATCCACAAAGCGGCCTCAACAGGTATACTGTTACATCACAGTATCTTTCCTCCAAATTGTTATTCTTAAGGATTGCTTTTCTCCCCCTCAAGTGAATTTTTTCCTCTTCACATATCTCTTGAGAGAAAGATAGCTTCCTCAACCTTACAGACATAAAATTAAGTCCAATAGTGGATTTGGTCAATATTTTCAGTAGTTCTGTAGCTAAAATAGGAGAAAAATGCAAAGCTTACCAAAACAGAAGGAACACAAATGGTGTTAAGTATTTAATTCAGAGGAGCACATACAATTCCAGCTGCAATGGAGGGATTTACAGCAAGCTATTTCGTGCTCTCGTATGGAACATTCAAAGCAAACTACAAAGAATAGCTAAGGTCTGAGAAAGATTCTCAGATCTCCTCTATCAGATGTCTCCATTTGTTTCCTTCCATTAGTGTAAATTTCCCCTTCCCAATGCAAGTTCAGTAGCTGGTACTTTAGCATCTGGAATCAATGGTAGATATTTCCTGCAACACACAAGGCAAGCAGCCAACTCCCCCCTATTATTCAAACAGATTTGCTAAAACTTTAATTACACAGTATGGTATGAATCAGCCAAGAGTAAACCTCTAAAGCTATGATCCTTATGTAGAAATGGTACATGAGCTATTAGGTACTGCACCAGTTCTATTAAACCAGTCAGTATTTGCAACCCTTTTTAATTTTGAATAAAAGGATGGCATTGTTTCTTCAACAATGCAAGTAATACAGAATAAAATTACTTCAGCATTTAAGAGAGATCACTCCAATGTCCTCCATGAAAAATTCTGGAGCAAATCAAACAAAATTCTAACCCAATGCCTCCAGTTGATGCTGTCTTGCTAACCATAACACTTTCATAAATTTGGCTATCAGCAAAAGCCAGGAAGGACATACTTAGGGAAATATAATTTTACATTGAAAAGTCTGATGTCCTCCCTAGAAAAAGGAAGACCTTCATTATCAGGAAGTACTTTATGAATTATCACTAGCACTTCAGTATTTCAGATCTGAATCCTTATTTAAGCACTAGAACTACATGTTCCTAAAATGATCTCAAACAGAAAGTTCTGAGAGCCAACACTTGCATATCTGCCTGCCTTTAATTATATGGATACTCCTACCAACAACAGCAGGCTTACTTGAAAGGTAATTTCATTATGTACTTCAGAGTTATTAGCATGAAGACCTAAAATGTGCTAGTGTAAGAGAAGGACACAGGTCCTGAAAATTGCAAAGGAAAACGTTTCAAGCTTAAGGAATACTTGCAGCCTTAAAACATTTAGGAGAGCCAACACCTACATGCAACAACTCGCAGTTTACCAGACTGCAAATTCAAGTGTTACAGCTACTATGACAGCACTACACAACAAATTTGCTTTTTCAGAGTATCAAGTAACAGCTACATTAGTAATGCTTTAGCCTTGGGTTACTCCCATTTAAACCCAGAGATATGTTTCTTTCAAGAATTCAATCCATGAGAAGTATTGCAATAACGTCACCACGGCCCTCACCTCACAGAAGACTCCTGAGAAGCCCTGTGAACACAGGCAACTGAATCCATTCACCAGGTCTTTGCAGCGGCCTCCATTTTGGCATGGATTGCTTTCACACTCATTTGTTTCTGTCTCACAGTTTTTTCCTGTGAAACCACGAGGGCATAAGCAATGGTAACCATTCACTTCATCCTTCACAGAGGGGAAAAAAAGGCAAAAGTAGAAAGATTTGTTTATTGATAAAACTTGCACACAAGAACTCAAGTTATTTCTATACTCTGGATTTATGAACAGCAGTAACAGCACATAAAATTATTTCGTGAAATGGTACAAGAGTCTGCAGGTGCAACATTACACTTTTAACATTTAATCTCATTTAACCAAATGTAATTCCAAACTATAGAATTCATAACTAGCCAGAACAAGATTAGTTTTCAATATGGCACGTAATAAACAAGAGTTACCTTACAAGTCCCTCCATGTTGACATTGTCCATGACAGTCATTAATATCTATGGATAAAATATGCAACGCATTAGAATTTATACTGCAAAGTCAAAGTCTAGCATAAAAAATGGAGAACAAATGATTTTCAGGAAGGATTTTTTTCTGGATGTTTCAATGGAAAGCAAGGATGCTTGATGTCTTAAGAGGTTCTTATTTTAAAAAATATGCAATAGAAAACTACATATTACGTATTTCTATTACAGTGTAATAGAAATTCAATCAAATGTTATCAGATAAATTTCATATCTAACATTTTAGCTAAGAAGTATTTTAAATTTAATCAGTATATGATATCATTCAGAATAAGGGATGAGTGAGTAGGGAGAGATTAGAGTTATGTAAGTGTATATCTAACCTCCTTTTAATACCAATTACATGTCTCAATAAATGTTCCAACAGTATTTTCAATTTATATTGCTGGAAGTTAGAAAAATCCTGACAACAGGTATTTTTTCTTGTACAAGTATGTGTACTATCATTCATCATAAAACCTGTTTTAAAGAATAGTGCATCCTATGGTCAACATACATACTAAAGAAATACTAACTGATATGACAATTTACTCCTGTCCATCCTGGAATGCAGTCACAGTAATATCCACCAATGAGATTTTTGCAAGAGTAAGCATTAACACAGGGTTTCCCCTCACACTCATTAGCATCTGTGAAAGAAGATAAAAGAAAGAAGAGAATAAAGAACAAACCCAGAAACAGATTACCACAGCACCAAGCAAAGTTTCCATGCAATCCAAGCATCAGAAGCTCATATTATACGTTGGTAGGGCACTAAAACCATTTACATACCACAAGTTTTTAATGCATACTTGTCTATAGTAGCACATGCATATTATCTTACTTTTTCCCTTTGCCAAAATTCAAAAAGGTATTATGTTAGTCAGGGCAAATCCCTTCCTTGCCTCTGTAAGCTTATAGTCACTGTTCTGCCACCATGAAGGAGCTACCATCACCAATGCTGTATTTTGAAACAGAAAAGTTACTGGGCATTCTAGAAGAACTATTATAAGTAAGCTTAAGTTGCAGCTTAAATAGTTATAGGTTCCCTTGAAACTTCTGGCTTTAAGATCTAAAGAGGAGCTAAGATACCAATAGTAACACACATCTTCAATGTTTTCTTCAATAAAATCATGTCAGAAACACACTTACATAGAGTTATTCATTATTTGGGAATAATCTCCAGTGGTCTTCAAAACTTTAGTGGGTAATTACTTACCGAGCTGACATGTTGCTCCAATCCACTGTTGTGGACATATACACTCAAATGCATTAACGCCATCAATACAGGTCCCTCCTTGAGCACAAGGGTTAGATGCGCATTCATCAATATCTGGAAAGTCAAAGTGTGCCATGGTTTAAAACTTGGCTTAACCTGTTTTGGGTTTGGGTTTTTTTGTTTTGTGTTTTGGTTTTTTTTGTTGTTGTTTTTGTGGTTTTTGTTGTTGTTGTTTGTTTGGGGTTTTTTAAAAGTTATTTTGAGATGAAGGGGGAGAATGTACAAATAAGCTTAGGAACAGACTAACATTTCTAACCTAATTTTTACTTAGGCTTTTCTCACATCTTTAAGATAGGGTATAGAGGAACTCTGAAATTTTCTATCTGCAAACAGCAAGAAGATTCAGTTAATCTGCCAATGATGAACACATTCATTGAAAGTCATGTTCCTAGACCCTGACACAAGTTTAGCCAGGTTTTTTGGGGGTTTTTGGTTGGGTTTTTTTGAGGATAGTTGCTGTTAAAAAATGGATGACCCCCCCCCCTCATGTTCCAAATCACAGTCAACATGCAAACTAACTACATAGGTCTACAATACATTTCAACTACTTCCCTGTCTTCCAAACCAGACTCCTTTAATGAAGTAATCTACTTTTCTACTACTTTAAGAAGGGGAGAACCTTTCATATGCATGTTTGTATTTCTTAAAATGAATCCATTCTGTATTTTGCTTTAGACCAGCTAAAGAGCCAGAAAGTGTCCTACAAGCTTTGGCAACAGGGTATTTCTTTGGATATGGTCTAGTTATGCTTTTGATAACCTGTGGATTTCAACTGTGTTAAATAGATACTGGTGGCTGCACAGTACCATTAATCTTTTCAGAGCTGTTAAAAGACAGGTAAGACTGTCACCAAATTCCATACCCACAGAGAATGATATTGTCAAGTAAGCTGTATCAACCCTTCCAACCTAACGGGTCAGTCATCAATAAATGCATACCCACCAATGGCACATGTTGGTCCACTCCACCCTGATGGGCAGTGACACTTGAAGCCTGACGAAATTTCATGACAAATTCCACCATTAGCACAGGGATTAGATACACAAGCATGCTCCGCTGGAAAGAGGGAAAGAAAGTCTTGCTAAATACTCTTCCAGTATCAATTAAGGACAACTTACATGGTTAGAAATTGTGTTCTGATTAAAAGTGACCAAGAACATGACCAGTGGAGAGGTGCCTGTACAAAAGTTTGAAGCCTCCCTCTCCCAGCTGCAGAGAGCAAGATTCCCAGTAGGAGACTGAAGCAGGATTTTACTAAATGTGCATCATGCTTCAATATCTACTGACTAGAAAGCCTAAAGGTAGACAAGTCACTATCTCAGTATCCCAGGAGCTAGAGAAGTTCCCTATTAACCTACTGCTTCCAGCCACACACTTCCACTTCCAGGGTGCTCCAGCACTGGGGTTTTTTTCCCTTCAGTGAGACAAAACAGATATGCTGTATGCAGAGGTCTGAACAGTAGTAGTAGTTTCAGTATCAAAGGTCTGTTTAGCTTCATTCTAATACTGTTCCTTGGAAACAGCAAAGAATAGAGCTACTTGCAATTATAGGTAGTACTGCTTGTTGTCACTCTATGTAGGGCTGTAATGCAGAAGCTGCACTAAGCAACAATCAAGTTGAGGAGGGACAAGTTGTATGCCATCATTTTTGATATTTTCCCTCTCAGAAGCCAAGGAAGCTTTTGGAAAGAAGAAAACAATCCCCTTACCAGGAAGACTTTCTAATTGTTGCTAGCATTTATATTTTGGAATCTTTCTTGCAGGCATGTTATCTAGTTTGCAAACTGAATTTACATTTTCATGATGTTAGGTACTAGTACCTAAAGCAGCTGATATACCAATCTACTGTACAGTTAATAATCAGTACAGAACTCAAGTGTATGGCTCCCTTTTTCCCTGCCTCCTCATAAGAGCCAAGGTGCTTCCCCACAACTTTCAGGGCAAGCAAAGACAAGATTTCAACCATTTTAGCTAAAACTTTGCATCACAGTCTAACAGCTGAAGCAAAATTCAAGTTTTGATAGTATCATTAATATCACATAGCACTTTATAGATAAAGTTCAAATTTGTTCTACATCCTGATAAATGTGAAAACCTTCTGCTGATAATAGTTTAGTGAACTTAAGGTCAAACAGTTAAGTGAAAGAAAAAAATGGGTTCTTTCCATCTACACTTACATCTATCAAGGAATAGCAAAATTCAAAGTGAGAAGACTGGGAATACCACATTTTAAAAAAAGGGATTTAACAATCCATCATGGCAAAGAAAGTCACTGCAGAACACCCAACTGAATACTACACATGAAAAAGCTGAACTGAAAGCTTTCCTTTTTCTCCAAACATCAAATCTTTAAAGCAAAATAGGAAAGAAATAGAAATTGCACACTTGCCCCTTCATCTGCAGACACAGCATAATCAGGAAAAGTCTCCAAATACCAAAATAGTCTCCAGTATGTGAAAATTTTGGTCCTTGTGTAACACATACACAGATAAAAATGAAAAAAGCAATATGCTATCTTTGTACTGTGGTCGAGATAGAAAGCAGTTTTTCAAGTTGGATTGACACAGATGTGTTACGAGTCTAGTCAAGAAGGCGTACTTCATCAGAAATATGGTTCAAATGCTTTCCTCCATTTTGCCAGTGGGAACAGGGAAGACACTTAACTTTGTTTAGACTGCTCAAGGTGACTTTGTAAGAGGGCTTGAGCACATTTCCATAGTGGTTAACATCTAGATTATTAATGCAAATGTATTACAAGTCCCATATTAAAAGAAGATTTTAAAAATCAAGTTTCAATTGATCAAAAAGGATAGTGACCATATTCAGGCAGCTAAAAATTGGGCCAAAACCCCACACCACAGTTAAAACTGAAGCGTTCATCACTACTACCTTCCTTAGTCCCCAGCTTGTATAATATGCATATTTGCAAGCAAGCCAGAAGACAAGAAAATGGGTAGCAGGGAGAAAGGGAACAGGGAAAGCTGCACCTGTAACCCATTTCCATAAGACTATAGCCCAATTGCATGTTTGGATTAAAGAAGCAAAGAAATCAAAGGAAAGAAATATTCTCAGTCTTATCTAAATCCAAGGGAAACTGTTGCAGCATTTCTATTGTCTTCAGTGTTTTTTTGAATAGCCACCCTAAGACACTAGACAGGAGAGACAGCTGGCATATCCCCACTGACACACAAAGTAACAATCAAGTTGAAAGGACAAGCTGCATGCCATCACTTTTCACACTTCCCCTCTCAGAAACCAAGCTAGCTTTTGGAAAGGAGAAAACAGCTCCTCTAGAAAAATAAAACCAACAATGAGCATATAAAAATGCCACCTGGCTAACTAGAACATAGCCATGCCTAAAACAGTTTCAGATTTCTGAAGATACATGCAATATCCAGAAGTACCAATTTCGCAGTTCTTTCCAGAGTAGCCATCTGGGCAAGCACAGCGATATTCATCTGGTTCAGTATTCATACAGGTTCCACCGTTCAGGCAGGGATGGTGATTTCCACAGTAATTCAGATCTGGACAGAGAAAAGTGTCAATCAAGAGGGAGCACAAATCTCACCAGTTTAATCCCTTGTCAGACATACAGATGCCTTTCTAGTTTGAACATTATTCACCCACATCATCCCCATATTCCATTAGTTAGCCTGTCATCTGGTAACTATCCACAGAAAGGGAAAGGATGAGCAAGAGACAACTACGTGAGTTAGAAGAGTCGGGACCATTCCAAGCCTTTTGTCTTAAACTTCCTATACTTACGATGTTTAGGCATTATCTGCCATAAAAGAATTAGGCAGAGGAATACTCAGGTAGTTGCACACTAGCAGAAAAAAATGGTTAATGAGTTATCAGTTAATCATGCAACTTAATTTATTTTTCCTGGACATTAATGTTAAGTACCTTTGTTACAGAGCAGGCCACCCCAGTTGGTTTCACAATTACACTGCCATGGTTCATTACAGCTCCCATGAGCACAGCCTGGGTAGCGGACACACTCATCACAGAACTGTCCTTGCCAACCATAATGACACCTAAGATGTAAGTTCACATGTTAAAAGTTAGCAACATGATGCTTAATTATCAGCATTACAGGTATTTAGAACACTACACTTACCATTCTCAAGAACAAGTTCAACTGTTGAATGTACAACAGATAACAAAACTTTATTTCTCCTGTTTAAAAGGGACATACTAGTCCTGTTGAACATCCTTACTGGAACTCATCTTGCTCAACCGTATTATATACCACAGCAAACAACACCAAGCACTACACATTATAAGAACTGTACATAAATTAGTTGTTCTTTCATGAGAAGTCCCATCTGCCAGAGAGGCAGCTGTCTTGTCAATTTCTCAGGACTTAGTTTCTCAAGAGAATCCTTTTTAAAGATTTATTCTATTACATCCTCAGTGTTCTCTAGTGACATTTTGAAAAAAGTGCTCTTTGGAGAAAGGACGAGAGAGAACAGAAACAAAAGCCACTAATAATTAATTTGTTTTAAACAGAGTTGAAATTTTGTCACAAGATTTCTTCAGAGACCAGTATCTTTGTTATCTGTAACAAAATTCTGCTAACAAAAGCAACTGTTTATGCTACAGGAAAAGTGCTAAAGTCTGAACTTAAAAAAAAAAAAGAAAAAAGGACATAGGCTATTTTTTTTTTTTTTTAACCTATATTTCACACACATTTTAATCAAAAAGAAATAGTAAGCTTGCTCTTTTGGGCAAAAACCCACCCCATTCGGCCTATTATTTTAAGAGTATTTCTTACAAACAATTTAGGAGCCACGCTAGCAACAAAGAGATGCATAAAAACACACTGAATGGGAGTTGGGCACATGCATGCCAGTGGAGCCCTAATGCCTACGGGAAAAAAGCATTAGAAAGGAAACTACTTTTTTACATTTAACACCACCATTCTATTATTGGCATGCTTTGAACACCATAAAAGAACAGAAAATAAATTCTTAAGTCTTTGGGGTGTGGTGAGAGAAGACAAGGAAAAGAAATATAAATGAGAGTCTTGGTTCCTTGTGAATCAATCCACTTCCACCATTTTCAGTTAACTGTCTCAATCCCCAGAGGAACAGAACAGGTTATGCTGGCAGCATTTTATTTCAATTTCTACTATTTACATAGGCAGAACGAGTCTAGATGCAGATCTTTGCAAGTTGTTGGTTTTTTTTTTTTTTAAATATAAAGTTCTAGAACTACTCCGAGTTCTTAGTTTCAGTATCTGTTCCTCATCCTCCCTCATAGTCATGGGATCCCTAAGGAGAGCCTCAACTGTGTACCTAGTCCAGAGGCCTCCAATAGCTCATCAGAAGCCTGGAGAACATATGTATTTCAGAAGCAGCTTTTTTTTGCTGTATTAGCAGTAAGAGGAAACAAATACTGCTCCTGCTAAATTTGATCTCTTCCTTCCTCCTCAAGGACAGAAAAATCTTTTCAGGGGCTGGTAATAAATAATAAAAAAAAGCACGCTGTAACTCACTTTACTGGCCCCAACCCAAATCTCCATCCATGCCAAACGTGGCACTACTGCCAGTGATTCACCATGACTATCCTAGCCAGAACCAACTCCCCACCCACATATAACAAGCACTTTCAAGGGCTGAAAGTCTGCATCACAAAGCAAATAATCACAATAACTCAATTTGGTTTCCATACCCAATGGGTAACTTGTGTCTTTGTTTAACACTGCACTGGTGATTAAGAGTGCGAAGAAAAATACAGCTACCTTCTTAGAACTTGAAGGCATCTTAAGGACCTACTTGAGTTTGTAGGTATGCTTGACTGCATTAAAATTAGTTGCACAGAAAAGGATTGCTGCTTTTTCATGATATTCAAGATAGTCAAAGTTTACTGTTAAAGTCACCACCAAGCCCGAGGGAAATAATTTCTAGAGGCTAAAAGCAGTCCAAAGGAACACAGTGTTTACAAGTCAAAAGGTTACTATGTGGTAAGCTGATCAGCCTTCAGTTTACAAGGAAGAGTAAATTAGGATTTCCTCTTGAACAGGAAGTCTGGTCGCATCCTACATTAGCAGGTGCTAGAGCAGCTTTAATTCCACTTCCTTCTAAAAAGATAATGTTTACATGGATCTCGGCTCACTCCTAGAGCAAGATGTGATCAATAAAGTGAAATCAATTCAGAAACAGGCATATTGTAATTTATGAAAAAAATATCAAGCCAAACCACAAGGATTAAAAAAGGCTAGTGATCCACTACGAGAAGCCCAAAAGGTACAGATACAAAAAGCAACATCTTCTATAAAAAACCCAACCAACAACAACAAAAAAAACCCCAAACCAAAAAAACCCAACCAAAATTCATTTTCAAGTAACAACAACTTGTGTAAAAGCCAAAAGGAAACTACTAGTGCACTTAATGGTGGGCTAAAGTTACTTTTTCCCTGCTTCTCCCAGGTGAGAATAAATTGTTGGAAGTTTCTGCAATCCTAAATTTTTCACATCTGACTAAAGAAAGCCAAATTTAGAGAATTCATAAGGATTCCCATTGTTCAACAGACAAAGAAAATTCTTATTGGAATCAAGATTCTACTTCCTTTGTCCTTCCCCTCTGCTGACTTCATCGGCTCTAACTCGTCTTTACAACCAAACACACGCAAAACAGAATCAGAGATGGCTTAATCTTAGCCCTTGCTGGGTTATTAGCAGTACAAAAGAAGCTACTATAAATAGATTGTTACAGTTTAGTAACTTCCTGATGGAAGGTTGAAGTACAGGCATCTGCTCCCAGACCAAAGTGTCCCTTCAGGTCAGGATTAACGCAGAGAGAGTGCAATAGGAATAGAAGAACAATTGCTAGTTATCTTGAAACCAAGAACTTGCAGAAAAGATCCTGATAATTCTACAGACATGCTTCACAGCTTCCATTTTCCCTAGATCAGAGTCTGGTGGCAACAGAAAATGAGAATTTAAATACAAGGCTGGAGGAAGGGGAGGTGGCAGGAGTTAGCATGAGCAAAGCTTCTAGATAACATTTCAGTCTTGAGATTAGGGAAACTGCAACTGTGCAGGAAAAATACTGTTGTCATTAACAAGTAGATAAAGCCACAATAGTTCAACTCATAGTGTATACTTGGTTACAGTAAGACAGTGGGGCTTCAAACAGATGAGTTCCAGGATAAGGAAGAAAGACTTTCTACGGTAAATCTCAATGTGTTTAAAGTAGTAAATTTAGTATCAAGGAATTGTACAGAAGCACCCGTCACTACACACAGTTCAAAGATACATATGTACTTGGAGGATGCAATAGGGGGAAGTGGGGAAAGGAGAAATAGAAGATTTGAGGTTTTTGCTTTTCCTGGTGCTATTAAAAAAGCTAAACTGGTCAAGTTCAATAAAATAGAGATTTTTCTACAGAACTGTACTTTCCCTGTATTCTTCTGAAACAGTTATAATTAAGGAAAAAGCTGATACTCATCTTTGCTTTCCTCTGAGGAGGTTTGTGTTATAATTATTTAGTGAAAGCTAGGTTGAAATTGAGCATTTCCAAACCAGATGGCACAAGGTCTTCAAAAGATCCCATGTTGCTGTATGTAAACAGATACATTATTTGTGAGGATAAGGCCCTGAGCAATCTGGTCTAACTAGACCTCCTTTAGGCAGGAGGTGGAACTAGATGATCCTGGAGATTCTTTCCAAACTCCATGATTTTATCGTAAATCCTACAACAGCAGTTACGGAAGTGATGTGGAAAGGCAAAGAGATGTACCCAGAACCTGATGGTCTGTAAACCACGGTCCCTCAGCACTTCGCATGATTAGCTCCTCCTTAACCAAAAGGAAGACACCTGTTACATAGCAAAAAGTTAGCACGCTCTCAACAGTCAACTTTAACTCAGCTGTTTCATGCTACCTCACACATGGTGTATTCTCCTGGTTCAATCCCTTCTAGTTATTTGAGAGTCCTGAACTTTCTGCACAGAAAGTTCAGCTGAGAAACTTCATATTGCAGGTCTCATCGAATCACTAATCTACTCTAGTTAACCTTATGAGAAGGCTCATAATACACAAGAATGAGAGGATACCCAAATAAATTGTTCTATGCCTAGCTACAGAGGTTTGTCAGCACTTCATGCATAAATACACCTAAACCACCAATGCGAAGGAAATCAAAACTAAACTACTCTGAAGTCTAGATCAGAATATGGGGTGTAAAAATAAATTAAAAAAATCCTAGGGAGGATGTAGGCAATGTGGTATAAGCCTTTAATTACTGCAGGTTATACCTTACTAGTATATTACACATCCTACAAAGGCTGAAGTGACAATCACATTTACACATCATTTTTTAAGCAGGCTTTTTGGAGGGAGCTTCTCCCACTCATATTTCAAGTGGAAACTGTGGCCAAAACACTCAACACAGGAAAACGAAGCAAAACAGTGACATTAAGAGCAGAAGCAAAATGCATCATTCAGGGGTGGGGGAGAAATAACCCTCTTAAATGGAAAACCACTGAATTTTCTAATGACGTGAACAGGATGGCGTTGCATAGGCCAGAACAATAGCTTTATATTAGTTATTTACTTAAAATAACTATAAGAAAGTCTGTTTAATCTTTTAAAAGATTAATTGTTGCATAGCAGGCAGCAATATGGTCTAGCTGTTAGATCCTACAATCCTGAGAATCCAGATTCAATGTTATAGCTAGTATGGTACTCACTAAGATTTGTCACAGAAGTGCTTTCTCCACTTTCCTACCTTTGAAATAGGCATGATAATTTTGTGACTAGGGAAGGAAGAGATGCTCGTTAATGAACTCAAATAATTTAATTACCTGAAAACTTGTCAACTTTTCCTCTCACCCCAAGCATTCTTATTAGACCAAAAGATACAAACCTTTCACTACAAACTTTTTTCTCCTCTAATAAAGGAAGTTATTGAAAGCTAACATTCTCATTCCAGTACTTTGAGTTTTGTGAAGGAGCTGATAGAGAGGATGGTTCAAAATTGTTTAGCCAGAACACAACGAGCAAGCATCCCTCAGTTAACTTGCAGTAAGT